ACTTCTTCCATAGCATACCACCACACAGCGTAATGCAGCATTGCCTTATCCAGCTGCTTGCGGCAAGTCCCGTCATCGTGCCATCCCAGTTTTCTCGGTGGTCTGTGCGCGAGGGAGCACGGAGGTCCGAAGGTGGGACTTCTTGTACCTCCAGTCTTTGGAGAGCCGTAACACATGGCGCGCCATTCAGAAGGCCGTCTTGGGGGGTTCTGGGAGCACGATGTTTGGCGCCGTCACGTGTGACACTTCGGCTGTCATGGGGTGTTGGTTCGTGTTCAAAGCCTGTGAGCCAGTCAGGGGTGATGGTGATGTTGATGATAATGGTGGTGGTGATGATGCTGGTGATGATGACGACGATGATGATGATGATGATGATGCTGGTGGTTGTGATGATGGTGCTGATGTTGATGATGGTGGTGGAGGTGGTGATGGTGGTGGTGATGGTAGTGGTGATGGTGATGGCGAAGGTGATGGTGGTGGTAACGATGATGACGATAACAATCACGAAAATACTGGTGATGATGATGTGATGAGGCCGATGATGATGATGGCGATGATGGTGCCGATACTGATGATGATGTTGTTGTTGTCGGTGGTGGTTGTAGTTGTGGTTGTGATAATGATGGTGATGATGCCGATGACGATGACGAGGCTGATGATGTTTATGGTGATGATGATGATGATGATCATGATGATGGTGATGCTGATGATGATGATGGTGGTAATGATTTTGAAAACAGTGTTGATAACGATGGTGATGATGATGATGATGGTGCTGATGACGGTGATGGTGATGATGATGGTGGTGACGGTGGTGGTGATTCTGAGGATGAGGGCGAGGACTGTGATGGGGATAAAAGAATGAGGATCATGATGAGATGGATGATGATGATGAAGTTGCTGGTTATGTTGATCATGCTGGTGATGACGGTGATGATGATGGTGATGGTGATGATCATGGCGATGATGCTGGCGGTGAGGATACTGCTTGTGACGATGATGATGGTGATGATGATGATGATGATGATGGTGGTGATGGTGATGGTGATGAGGATGGTGAGGTGACAACGGTGATTATGGTGATGATGATGGTGATGCCGACGGTGATGGTGACGATGATGATGTTGATGATAATGGTGATGAGGATGTTGATGATGATGACGACGACGGTTATGATTGTGATGATGATGGTGGTTGTGGCGATAGTGATGGTGGTGGTAATGATGATGAGCTTGATGATGATGATGCTAATGTTGATGATGATTATGATGATGATGCTGATGATGGTAGTGATGATGCTGATGATGATGATGATGCTGATGATAATGGCGATGACGATGACGATGATAATGACGATGACGATGACGATATCGATGACGCTGACGGTGACGATGATTAGATAGAGGAGGAGGATGGCGAGGATCACGAGGAGGAGGAGGAAAAGGAGGAGGAACGCTTGCGGAGCCCTCACAGATCCCATTTGGGCAGTCGTGGGGGCTTGTGGGCCACTCGGGTGCCGTTTGGGGGCCGCTTGGGGGCCTCGTTTGGACGTCCTGGGGCTTCCTGAGGACCGTTTAGGGTGGAAGGCTTGAAGTGTTGGTTTGTTTTCCCCTCGCGGGCCCTTCTTGGGACTGTCTTTGGGCCCTCCTGGGCAGTCTTGCGCACCCGTTGGGCTGTCTTGGAACCCTCTTAGGCCGTCTGGGGGAGGGGGGGCCTCTTTGGGGGCTCTTGAACCGTCTCGCAGCAGTCATGGGGCCTCTTGGGCCGTCCTGGAGCGTCGGAGGCTCGAACGGCCGAGAACCCAGAACACATTGAAAAATGCATTCCCAAAGCAGTGCTTGCAGATAGGGTTTCTTATGCCAGTTCTAAGAAACTGTGCTGGTGTGGCGGCCTGGCGGCTATGTTTTCGCCGTAGCCGCCTCTTCGCGTTTCCGCGTCCTGCTCGGCCCGGGAGGCGGTGTAGCCTCTCTCGGTGTATGACATTCCTATGGAGGTCGTCCCGGTGGTGGTGTCGCACCTGGCGGCTGCGACGCCGGTCGTGATGGCGTTGCCCGTCGTGGTCGTGTTACATGTAGTGTTTGACACTCGACTGCACCACATGGATTGCACCACGCAGATTGCACATTGATTGCGCCACATGGGTTGCACCATATGGGTTGTACATCGTACATCGCACATCATACCCCACACCACCTAGATTGCACCATCCATAGTGCTCCACATAGGATGCCCCACATACGTTGCACAACAGAGCCTGCACCACATATATTACACCGCATGGATCGCACCACATAGGTTACACTACATAGATAGCACAACATAGAATGCACAACATGGATTGCGCCACGTAGCTTGCACCACAAATATTGCCCGACATAGAGTTCACAACATATATTGCTAGACAGGCACTGTTCAAAATCCACGCCTGCTAGCATATGAAAATGAATGATGACTGCTTCTCGGGGCTGACCCTCTTGGGGGCCTCTTGAGAGCCTCTTGGGGGCCTCGTTTGGCCCTCTTGGGACCTCCTGAGACCTCTTGGAGCAGAAGGCTCGAATTGTCGATTCGTGCTCCTCTCTTGGGGGGCTGTCTTAGGGCAATATTTGGGCCCTCTTGGGCAGTCCTGGGCGCCTCTTGGGCAGTCTTGGGCGCCCTCTTGGGCCGTCTCAGGGCCCTCTTAGGGGGTCTCCTCGGCCGTTTCGGGGCAGTCTTGGGGGCAGTCTTGGGTCATCTTGGGACGTCGGAAGCTCGAAAAGGAGAGAACCTCCAAAACTTTGAAAATCAATGATTTGTGCCTCTCGAGGCCCTATTTGGAAGGCCCTTGGTGCTCGAGACGCCTCGGGGGCCTCTCGGGCAATACTGGGCATCTCTTGGGCCGTCTTGGAGTCCCCTGGGGCCGTCTTAGAGTCCTCGTGGGGGCCTCTTCGTTCCTTTTGGGGCAGTCTTGGGGGCCTCTTGTTGGGACCTCGGAAGCTCGAAAAGGCGACAACCCCAAAAACATTGAAAAACCTACGGGCCATAAATGATTTGTGCCTCCTGGGGCCCCCTCGGGACGCCACGAAGGCCTCTCGGGTCGTCCCGAGGCCACAGTGCACCCTCTTGGAGACGTATAGGGCCGTCTTGGAGGCATTCTGGACGAGGGGAGGGGCCCAGAAGAGGACAGAACTCCTACCAGACAGCATTTGGCGTTCTGGCACGCCTCAACGTGCCAGGGGGCCCGGTGGTGGATCTTAGCATGGCGTTCTCATGGCGTGGCCTACCACAGCATAGCGCGGCATCACGTCAGCACCACACCGGAATAGCAAAGTGCACGCAGCGTCCCCAGACATCTGGCGGCTCGATGTGCTCAGTGTGTGGGACCCCCCTGCCTCTCGGCCCCGTCCCCAGGGGCGAGTTTCGTCCCGAGCTGTTTTTGACGGCCCCGGGTCCCAAAATTGGTTGCCAGTGCCATCGAGGCGCCGCATTTTCTGGGGTGGTGGCGTGTGTCTGGTGCCGGCATCAGCGACCCAGACCTCCGACACATCGCGCTTTCTGCTCACAGCGTGGACCCCCAGAGGGCTGGACTCCTTCCCTCCGATCCTTGACCGTTGATCCTCGATCGATCCTCGATCCTCGAACCTTGCCAGGGGACCAGCTTTTCATCCCGAGTCATTTTTTTGTGACGGTCCCAGGGCTCAGTATGTCCATTTTCCAATGTGATCTCGTCCCGACGCGAGGAGGCCAGGGGATGGAGAGGAGGGGGTGGCCTCGTCGGCGGCGCGCACAGGGGGGTGGCGCGAGGGGGAGGTTCCTCGAAGGCCCTGGAGGCTTCTAAGAAGCCTTCTTGGGGGCGTTGCGTCTTGGGGGGGGGGACGATAAATGTGGGGGTGAAGAAAGGTGCACCTCATCAGTCGGGGGAGCGTAAGACCCGGGTTTGCCGGGACTCGGGTTCGCCATCGTTTTTTGACGACCGCGACTCGGATTTTGACGAGGAGGAGTTTCGTGGGATGTCTGCAGCGGGAGGCCTCGTCAAAATGCAGGCTCGGCCTCGTCATTGTTTTGACGACCTCGTCGGGGATTTCCGAGTCCCCCGTACCCGGGTCTTACGTCTCCCCGAATCAGGTGATCGCCAGCATGGATCAAGGGGGCGTGGATTAGCGACGGGCCCCGCTTCCGTGGGAAAAACCGCGGGCTGCCGCCGCCGACCGGGGCGGCACCGGCCGCCCATGGAGCGGGGGAGGTGGGCGGCACCGGCCGCCCACCTCCCCCGCTCCATGGATTTGGCGCCCGCGCGCCAAATCCATGGATCGCCAATCCCTGTCGGCGCGCCCCCGAGGGGGGGGGGGGGGGAACAGCACACAGACACACACACACACACACACACACACACACACACACACACACACCGGTTCGTTGCTTACCGGACCCACAATCCCCCAGGGCTAGTATACAGCGTTTCGGGGCACCTAGGGTTCGCGCCCGAAACATACGCCCCCATCCCTACCGTTCCTCCTCCTCCTCCTCCTCCTCCTCCTCCTCCTCCTCCTCCTCCTCTTGCGCCTTCTCCTTCTGCTCCTCCTCCTCCTCCTCCTTCTCCTCCTCCTTCGTAGCCATTTTGGCTCAAGATGCCTGCTTTGCGCAAGCAGGGAATGGATACCGCTAGTCCGCGGCCAGTTTCCGCCACGCGCGCTGCCCTTCCGCCCGTGCGCTGCGCCCGTGGCTCATGGCGCTGTCTGCTCCTGGAGGACGGCGAAAGAAGAAGAAGCTCCCTGGCGATGCTCGCGGCAGTGTGGCTCGTGCTGCTGATGACGGTGCTGTGGCAGGTGATGGTCGTGCCGACGAGCGGTCCCGTTCCAGCAGATGCGGATCTGATGAAGAGAACGATCCAGACATGGACCCCAGCGGGTGGGATGACCACGTCAAGGGCCTCATCGACGGCCACCTCCGCAGCACGTTCGCCTCCTTTCAAGAATGAGATCACTGGAATGGTCGCCTCGACAGCTTCCGCAGCTGCCACGCAGGCCGTCGATCCCGTCATGGCCGCGATCCGTGCTGTGGAGGACACCGTCAAGAGCGTTCCTGCCACGTGCCAACAGAAGGTGGAGGCCTCGCTTCGTCCCGAGCTGGCCGCGATGGAGCGCCGGTTTCAGACACAGCTTGATGGTCTCAATGCCAGAGTCACCAGCTTGGATTCGCGCACTGAGAAGATGCATGATGAGCTTGGGGACATGCACAAGCAAATGGATGAGCTGCGAAATGCCTTGGCGCTCGCACATCGTGCTCCGCCTCCGCCCAGGCCTCCGGCCGCTGGATTTCACAGAGAGGTGGACGCGACGGTGCTCAAGATCGTGGCCTCCTCTATGGTCAAGCGTAAGGATGTCCACGACTCCATCAATGCCTGGCTGGACAAGTCCAAAATTGACGGATGGGAAGTTCATTGAGAAGAGCAAGATCGGTTGTTTACGCTGCAGTTCACAGGCCCTGTCGCTGTCGCTGGTCGGCGTGCAGTGCAGGCCCTTGGAGCACTTCGACTGCCTGGCAAAGGCAACTCAATGCGCTTCCCGTCCCCGCCGCATCTGGAGGATCCACGCAGCTGCACGTTGGTGCCGACAAGAACCCGTTCCAGATCAAGCGCGAGATTGTTGGGAAGAAGATCGCGGCCGTCCTGCGAGAGAAGTACCCCGACACAAAGTTGTTCTTCGATCGCCAGAATGGATGGATCTCCGAAAGCTGGAACCCGATTCTCCGTCTTGAACCGCAGCCAGGACAGGAGGCTACCAAATGTTATTGGAACGATGCCGCACTTGCCACGAGGGGGTGGACCAGGGACGAGATCAAATCCGCCATCAACCACATCATCACCCCCAATGGCGAGCCTGAATGGAGTCTTTAGCCAGTACGACGGCCTCTTTCTCTCGGAGGTTGAAGGCGGAATGTCGCCGAAGACAGGTCAAATCGTCTTTTGTATTTGGAATGCCAGAGCGTTCTTGAGGTGGCGCGGTGTTCAAGCCATGGCCAAAGCCACCTACCTTCATCAAGCTGGGATCACGAACGCTATCTTCGCCATCCAAGAAGTGCACCAAACTTTGGCGGAGTTCCAGTTCGTCATGTCGAGGATTGCACCATCGTCCTCAGTTTTTGGATCTTTTGAGGTGGCACGTGACGGCCATCGACGTGGTGGCGTGGCGACGGTTGTCCCACTCGCGCAGGGTGTGGATGTCGTTGCTGTTCCGCTCGGTCTTATACCTGGTCGTGTATTGCGCCTGGTTTTTCGTCGTGGGCAGGTTGAACTTCGACATTACAATGTTCACAATCACGGCCTGGAGCGAGGTGATGTGCTACAAGTCACGCAACGTATCCAGGCAGACTATGCTTGGGCTGCAGAGGCTCCGTCTTCAAGAATGGTTGTGGTCTGTGGGGGTTTCAACTTTTCCGCGCATGAGGCTCTGGACCTTTTCTGATCCTGCCCAAGCGCGAGATCTTCGGGTCGCCAGCAACGCGAGAACGCATATGAAGCTTTGGCTCTCTGTGCTCTCGCCATTCGTCGAGGTAGCCTCAGAGGACCCCACCCACTACTGCAGGGACTCCAAGACAGTGGCGCAGATCGATCGTGTTTGGATATCTGAACCTGGTTGGGTTGCGTGTCAAATTCAACATTTTGTGACGGTTACCCCCGCGCCTGAAGAGCTGTCCGATCGTGAGATCTCCGATCATGCTGCTGTCAGAGTTACTCTCAACAGCAGGCATCAGCGCAAGAAGTACGTCAAAACGGTGCCTCCTGCCATCTACAAGTCCGTCGACTTCTGCGAACGGCTCGGGCGTCTCCTCGACTACGAACAGCACGCCTTCTTGTCCCTTTCGCCCCCGCGTCAGATGGAACGCTATCAGGAGTTAGTCAATGCGGCGGCCCTCGGCTCGCTTAATCAGTTGCTGGTCGACGATCCTGGTTCTCGCGAGGCGCAGCGGCTGTTCGCGCGACAGCTGGCGAGGGCTGTCTGGCGACAAGACGCGTAGTTGGCCACGCGCGTTTGCAATGCTTCGGAGACGGCACGAGGTTGTATCGAGATTATTGGGCACCAGGTGCGGCTGGTCCAGCCAGCTGTTTTCTCGGCTTGGGCCAACTCTGTTCAACTTGCGGCTGCTGGTCATGAGCTTGAGGAGCTTCAGCACGCAGCGCTTCATGCTGTGGGGCGAGCTCGGCCCTCCGCAGGGGCCCTGGCTGCGAAGGCTCGCAAGGCGCGCCTGTGGGCGCCGTTTGGAAAGAGGCTGACTCTTCGGGCCATATCCGTGAATAACTGCGCGCACACAGATGCGATGGCCAAGTTGGACGCATTAGCAGCATACTGGGCGCCTGTGTCTGTGCCACCCGCGGCGTTCCCCAATGCTATGCGAGCTTACGTCGGCAAGTTCGCGCAGCCTGGTCATTATGATGATATCCCTCCGCCCACTCGTTCGTTGCTTGGTCGAGTTATGCGACGGCTCGCGCCGTCTTGTTCAGCGCCTGGAGTTGGTGGCCTTCCCTACTCTGCGTGGGCGGCGCATCCGATGGGTGGTGACGTACTGTGGAATGCCTGCATGTGGCTGATGGATGGGCAGCTTCTCTTTTCCAGCACTGGCGACACGCTCCAGGCTTTTCTTCCCAAAGGTAGTCAAGTGGGTGATGACGACAGCAGGGGAGTTATGCGTACACCTGATACGGCGAGGACACTCGGACTGCGAACCACTGACATGAAGGTCATTTCGGCCACACTCAGCCAGGCCATTGCCCCTAACATACAGAGGACGACGTCAGTCACGCCGAGGGGCTTCATCGCGGGGCGACAGTTTACTTCCAACATCCTGGAGCTCGACATGATGGCACGTGTTGCATCGTTGCAGCCTGCTGTGCTTGAGCGGAACCCGTTGCTTGTCGCTCTCGATTTCGGCCAGGCATTCCCGTCCTTGAGTCAAGAGTTTCTCTTCGCTGTCTTGAATCGTATTTGCCTTCCGTGCGGACAACATGCTGCTATTCGCGGTTTGTATTCAGTGGTGTTTGTTGTTGGGCGCGTGGATGGGATTAAAATCCGTTTTCCGTATCTTTTGTGGAATAATTCAAGGATGTGCGCTTAGTGGTAGCGTGTCTGCAGCGGCAACTTCACCATTCTTGGAAGACATCAGACGCGGCATTGAAGTACCAGTCCGTGGTGTGTTTCGTGCATGTGCCGACGATATTGGCGGCGTAGTCTTTGATATGTTAGACCTCAAGTTTTTGGCTCGGGTGATGGCGGTGGCGGAGAAGTTGGCCAATCTCAAATTGAAACCACCCAAGTGTGTTCTGGTGCCTCTCGCCGACGCCTTCTCTGAGACCATCCAGGCCAAGACGCCAGTTTTTCTTCAACAGCACGTTCCTGGTGGGCGGCATTCAAAGTAGAGGCCATCCTGCTATACTTGGGTGTCTGGCTCGGGCCTGCTGCAGTGCCTATGAGTTCTTGGACTGGACCATGGGCCAACTACAAGATGCGCGTTGGTGGGTTGGCTGCTTCGTCTGCGCCGCTGTCGCTGAATGCACTGAACTATGTGATTCGCGCAGTACCGACGCTGAGCTATGTTGCTCAATTCTTCGCGCTTCCAGAGGCCATCCGCAAGTTCGACATGCACGTTTTGGTTCGCCTCCTTCGCTTCCCTGGCGGTGCACTGCGGCTGGTCGGTTTCTCTGCGCTGAAGGATTGGGGTGGGCCGAAACTACACAACATTGTCGCGATGGCAGGGGCTGCGCTTATTCGCTCTGGGCGACCCACGCATCCTGAGCACAAGGGCTATCTACGACTTCTTCGGCGTGCGTCAGCGCGGCGGTTTGTTCATCGTCGACTGGTTGACCTTACAGGTCACCTCTCGCCTTCTTTTTGGATCATGCCCGCCATTGTGGAGACGCTGGACGCTGCGTGCTCATCCTCCTCCCTTGCGGCGATGGCTGCTCGGGCGCTCCTGGCTGAACATCCTGCTGCGACGAGAGGTGTCCAACGTGTAGCATACATTGCCAGCATGGCCGCCTTCTTGTCCAGATTCAGCGCCCCTGGGGGCGAGCCTTCGCCCTGGGTTGCTACCATTTCTAGACGGTGGGTCAAATGGTTTCCTTCCTTGGCGATGCAGTTGGACCAGATTGAGCGGCCTCGGCTGCGCAAAAAGCTTCGCGGATACCCGATGGCATGGTCCTCTTCGATGTTTCGCGGTTTCGTGGGAGGCTGGCTGACTTCCTCGCGCATCTCGTCTCCTTCTGGGCAAAGAAAGTGCAGATTCGGCTGCGAAGGTTACCTGGACGAGCTAGGAGACTACCTACAGTGCCGCGGTCTTGCCTGGGGCATTGCGATGGCGAAATCTGTGGGACGTCGATCTCCCCCTGGCCCAGTCCTGGTACGGTGGGGGCTTAGCGACCCGAGTGACGACAACTTGATCAACACGCAGCTAGCAACAGTCATTTACCATGAGGTGCGGCACCATGACTACGTTCCACCTGATGATCTGCTCACCGCAGCTCGTGGTGCCCTGCGTGCTCGGGCGCTGGCCAAACCGCTTGCAGGGTGTACGCCTGCTCCTGAGATGCCACGCGCTGCTCCTACGTCGTTGCCTGCTGCACCATCAGCTCAAGGCATGAAGTCGGTTGTCGACGACTTGGCGCTCCCTGATGCGCTCCTTCGTGTGCTCCCGCTTGGCCAGGCTATACTTCACGATCGGTTTCCTCATCGAGTACGCTACCCACAGGCGGCTGGGGAACACCAATCTGGCTTCCCGCCCGTAGTCGAGGTCTACCATGGCATGGTTAGCCTTCTTGCTGCGCTCGAACGGCGTGCTGCCTCGTGGGCGCGTAGCTGGATACCCTCTATCTACATGCGGGGCATAATGCTTTCGGACTTCGACGACTGGATGGAGCGGTGTCCGAATCAGGTCGCTCGCATATTGGAATTCAGGATCTTTCAAGGTGCGCCGCATGTGGATCGTTGTCACCGTTACGAGCTTGGGGTGAGCATCGCACATGTATCTTGGCGCAACACGGTGCACTCCAGGGAGCGGCTCTTGGGGCACTTGACGGGGCCTTGGGACAACGAGATGCTTCGGCAACTGGCATTTGAGCACCGTGGGCATGAACAGATGCTTCTGAGACAATGGAGCCCTCAGCGAAGGGTTCTGGAGATTTCTTCCTGGGAACGATTGGACACGGTCTCTTCCTCGTTCTTGTGCGCGTCGAGTCTGGCCGTTGGTCCTGAGCCTCATCAACGTGCGGGGCATCCGTCACTGCCTGCTGATCGCCGTCATGTTCATGCGATGCATCGTGCTTTGGTCGATCGTGTTGCAACTTGGGCGCGGCAATGGGTCCCATCCCTCGTCGTCGCCTCGACAGGCGGCGATTTTCAACAGTGGATGGACTGGTGTGTGGAGTATGTATCTGATGTCTTGAGGTATTACGGGTTTCGCGATCTGCTGCGCTGCCCTGTGGGTGTCGCTTCGGATCAAGCTGTGCGCTGGGAGGTTGCCACTGAGATCTGTCTTCGTGGATGGTACGACAGCGCCCAACCTAGGGAGGCATTACGTCTTTCTCTTTCTGAGCAGTGGCAGGCTCGCGACAACTCGAGGATCAGTCAGTTACGCCGGCGTGGCGTGCAGCACCTTCGGCAATTGGGCTGGCTTGCCAATGTCTCCCGCATGCCGCCAGAGAAGCGTCACCTCTTTGAGCAGGCTCGGGCTGCCCGTCCGCCCGCAGTGCTGCCTGCGCTGCTTCCACATCTTCACGGTCAGCGTGTACCTCGGCATGGTGCAGTGGTGGGCACTTCTGCGTCTGGCGAGCCCTTTCCAAACGATTCCAACAACAGCGTGGATGGGGATGGCCTACCGAAGCCTACGGACGTTGACTTAGAGATTATGGCAGGAAGTGGATGCAAAACGAGCAAGGGTGAGGCGGAGCCTCCCCCTTCAGGTTGTCACGACGATGCTGAGATGACCGCGGCCGAATTTGCTCATCATTTTGGTCCCATTCTCACTGACGAAGAATTTGAACGCCAAGTACAAGAAGCGGCTCGGCGACCTCGCGAAGGGCATCCTTCTTCTGATCGGGATCCTACGGCTGCGTCGTCAACCATGCCACCACCTGCGCATGACGAGGCTCTGCCACAGGCGGAGCCAACTTCGCCGCCTGAGCAAGATGAAGTGTCTGACCCCAGTTCGTCAGATGGGAACTTCTATCGACTGATGGCTGAACATGGGTTTGGGGCTATTAACCCTGATGGGACTGTGGGTGGTGCGTTAGCTTCTGGCAGCGGTGAGGCATCAGGTGCTGTTGGGCACTCTACGCATACATCGTCACACCCACCATCGGTGGCGACGCCGCCTGACCGGCCTGCGGATGAGGTCGTGCTGGCTCCTGGTCGTGGAGATGATACTGATCGGCTTCCTGCTTTACGCTCGGTCAGCTCGTTTGTCTACGCTGTGTTGGGTGCGTCTAGCACGCATGGTTTTCCTGGACGGAGAGGGGAAGAGTCTCTCTCGGCTGACCAACTCCAGCGGGCGATTGACAATTTGGATGCGAACTACGTGATGTCGGCGGAGCACAGGGAACTGGTTGTCTGGTTGCTCAGCCATCCGTCCGCGCTCTTGGAAGGTACTGATGAGGAGCCTGGTTTTCCTCCTCTCGGCCTGGATGTGGTCTTCGATGATGACGCTCCTGCGGACTTCGACGAGTTGATGCTGGCAGAATCTGTCGACGCACCTCGCGACATGATTGAGGACCTACCACAGGACGACAGGCTCGCGCTGTTGAGTCCCGAATCGGAACCAGATCAGGAGGATGTGCACGCGGAGATCCTGGCCCAGACGGTGGCTCCAGAGCGCGGTCCTGGATCACATGATTGTGTCGATAACGGCGCGCGGTTGGAGGATGTTCCTGGTGAGCCGCATGTGGCCCACGACTCTGCTGCAGCGTTTTCGGTGCACGCTGTCATCGCTCAAGAGCCTCCTCAACCCAGTCTTGAGCCTGCCCTCCCATGCTCTTCAAGTTCTTCTTCTCACGGTAATGACCAAGCGGGGCAAGCTGACATTATACGGCAGCAGGTTCTGCCTGCAGATGCGTCTGCTGGTCATGCTGCGCCGTATCAAGTGGTAGACACAGACCCAGTACAGGCTGGTGGAGTCGAAGGGCATGCTGCGCTTGGTCACGCTGTCCTGGGTCTCCGCGGTCACGAACCAATGGATCAAGCTGAACTCAGGCAGCAAGTTCTCACTATTCAATGCGCGCTGGCCGCTGGGGGTACCGCAGTTTTACTGGGCGAACAGGGCGGACATTCTCCTGTCGGCGCTGGCGAGGTGGATTGGGACATGTTAGAACCCAACACGGTTCATGCAGTCAGCATGTTGGTTCCTGCGATCCTGCCCGCTAATCCGAACATGCTGTATGGTGTTGCGACTACATTGTGCTGGTCCTCGTTTTCGCTGGCTCTTCAGTCTGAACGACCGCCTGGACATTGGCAGGGCCATCTTGTGACATTTGCAGAGCTGTCGGGGCCCCAGATTTCGCAAGCTCTGCGGCTACTTCACAATTTATTCCCCTAGTTGGCGAGGGACAAGTACTTGGAGATTGACTGGATGCTTCGTCACCCTGCTGCGTTTCTTCTCCCTGCCGTCGAAGGTCATGACCTTTTTGATCTATATGCTGGAACAGTGGAAGATGAAGAAGGCGTGGACAATCTTAGCTCTGGCGGAGGTGGTAGCCCTCCTCTGGTCGCCGCTGCAGTTTCGCTCGAGGCTGAGGGTGTTCCTGATGAGAGTGGAGCTGTTCTTCCCCATGGAGGTGGAGGAGCTGGATCTGCCGCTGAGCCACCAGCGACTCTTCATGGCGGTGGTGTGCCTCCTCTGCGCGATGGTGTGGACCATGGGTGTTCTGGTCATGCCCAAGTACTTCCAGCGGAAGACACTGCGCTTCAAGTGGAAGGTTCTGGCCATGGTGCGAGTGAGTTTGGGCCATCGGACGCTGGCAATGGTCCTGTGGGGCACCCTTCGTCGACCGTTGTGGAGGTCTCGACTATGCTCGAGCTCGCGGTGGGCATGGGCGGCGACGCGAGCGCGGCCGCTCCCGACAGCGGCTTCAACCAGGTGCTCCTTTCCGAGACGGACTTGATGACAGGTGTCTCTGATGAAGGTGAAGCCGATGATCTTCGTGGAGGTGGTCGCAGCCCCCCGCTGGGTGCGGCGGCCGTACCACCTGTGGTTGGAGGTGTTCCGTATGAAAGTGAAGCAGATGATCCACCTGGTGGTGGTGTTCCTGATGATGGTGAAGCTGTTGAAGGTCCTGTGCCTTTACCAGGTGATGGTGTGCTTCCTCCTCGTGAAGATGTGGACCGTGGGAGTCATGGTCGTGTCCAAGTACCTCTAGCAGGAGATACTGCGCCTCAAGTGGAGGCTTCTGGACACCATGGCGTTCCTGATGAAGGAGAAGATGATTATCATCCTGAATGTGGAGGGGCAGGTCTTGGTGATGATGCTCCTGCGGTTCTTCCTAGCGGTGGCGAGCATGCTCGTCATGAGTCTGATGGTGTTCCTGATGAAGGTGAAACTCAGGTTCTCCTTGGAGGTGGAGGGGATGGACCTGTCGCTGATGGTTCTGCGCCTCCACCTGGAGGTGGTGTGCTTCCTTCTCGTGAAGGGGTGGACGGTGGGAGTTTTGATCTTGTTCAAGTGCATATAGCAGAAGATGCTGCGCTTCATGTGGGAGATCCTGGGCACCATGGCGCAGGTGGGTTAGGGCCCACGGACGCTGGCACTGGCCCTGTGTGGTGCCCTCCGTTGACTGTTGTTGTGGCCTCGCCTGTGCTCGAGTCCTCGAGGGGCTTGGACGGCGGCGCGGGCGCTGCCCCCCTCGACAGCGACGTCGACCTGATGCTCACCCCCGTGGCGGACTTGAGAGCAGGTGTTTCTGATGATGGTGAAGCAGATGATCTCCCTGGAGGTGGAGGAGCTGGTCCTGTTGCTGAAGCGCATACGCTTCCTCTCGGCGGTGGTGAGCTACCGCCTCATGGTGGCGTGGGCCCCGGGTGTCCTGGCCGAGTCCAAGTACTTCCTGAAGAAGAAGTGGTGCCTCAAGGTGATGATCCTGGCCATCATGCTGCGGGTGAGTTGGGGCACACGGGCTCTGGCGCTGGCGCAGTGAAGTGCCCTTTGTCGGGCCTCATGGAAGTGTCGCCTCTGCTCGAGATCACGAGGGGCATGGGCGGCGAAGCGAGCGCGGCCTCTCTCGACAGCAACGTAAAGCAGGCGCCAACTGCCGAGGCAAACATGAGAGCAGGCGTTCCTGATGAAGGGGAAGTTGATGATCCCCCTGGTGGTGGAGGGGCGGGTTCTGCTGCTGAAGCGCCTGTGCCTCTTCCTGGAGCGGGTGAGCACCTTCTTCGTGGTGGTAGTACCGCCTGATGAAGAAGCGGAACCACAAGGAGATGATTCTGACCGTCGTGATGAGGATGAGTTGGGGCCTACGCATGCTGGCACTGGTCCTGTGGGGTTCCCATCGGTGGGCATCGTGGAGGGCTCGCCTGTGGTCGAATTCACAGTGGGCTTGGTCGGCGACGTGAGCGCGGCCTCTCCTGCCAGCGACCTCAACCTGGTGCCCCCCGTGGAGGCGGGCCAGAGGACCGGCCCCGCGAGGGCCGACGGCGGCGGCGGCGCGGCCAGCGCGGCCTAGACAAAGACGTGCGCCCTTCAGTGGCGTGGGATCCTTCTCCTCCTCCTCCTCCTCCTCCTCCTCCTCCTCCTTCCCCCCCCCCCTCCTCCTCCTCCTCCTCCTCCTCCTCCTCCTCCTCCTCCTCCTCCTCCTCCTCCTCCTCCTAGCCGCGCGGCCCAGGACGGCTCCGCGCTGCGGCTGCACGGCATTTGGGCGGGGACCCACGCCCCCGACTTCGAGGCCTGCCAACAGCTTTACCCACCCGCACTCACCCCCATTACTGTACCTTCAATACTACCCATATGATTATCGCTTGTGCTGCCGTCTTGTGCGCGTCTGTTGCAAGATCACCGCGCCTTGTGCGTCGTCTACTGGTGACACGCGCAGGGCGGGGAGGATCCACTACGTTGTGGGTGCGTTGGTCGTGGCAGGTGTGCTCGTCGTGCTAGGGGTCTGAGAGGCATGCGTGTTGTGCGCTGGAATCATCTCTCCTTGGCTGACAGAGATCGAGAGCTCGAGATTGACCTAGAGTTTCGGAAGATTGGCATTTTTATCATGATTGCGACCCAGAGGAGGACGTATGACAAACCGTATGTTGTTGAGAACCTTGCACACTTTAAGGTGATGCGTTGTGGACAGCATATCAAGTCTGAGTATGCGAATTCGAGTTGTGGTATCAGTTTCTGCTTCAATAAAATCACGGTGCGCGCGTGATGTGGTCAGGATCTGGACGGCGCCGCTTGGTGGGAAGTCGTATTACGGAGATGTGATTTGCGTTGGGCTGTACTTTCCACCGAGGAGCAGGGACTCTAAAGAGCAGATTCGCCGACGCACCACTATTGGGAAAGTTCACGCGTTTGGTCAGAACGTATTTGCAGAAGTCCCAGCCAGATCGGTGCCGATTGTCGCTGCTGGTGTAAATGACGGACTGGGTCACGCGTGGAACCCACACGGCACTGCAGTATGAGAGCCTTCGGCACTTGGACCACATGGGCGTGATGTGGAGCACTACGCGGGCCAGGTGCCCAGGGACATGGCAGAGAATGTTGGACTGTTTGCTGCTAACACTTTTCCGCGTGGGCCATCGTACTATGGTGGGGGCAGAAAGCAAGATCCCTCTTTACAGTTTGTAGGACTGCCTGCAGCACGCGTCCGCCAGCACGTATCATGGATAGGTCATTTTCTCATACCTGATGCACTTCTTGTGTCTGTGCAACGTTTCGAACAGGCCATGCGTTCGTCTCGAAAGTTGTAAGTGGCCCCCGATAGTCGACCGAGACATCATGTTGCGCACGTGTTCGAGATATGTCTCAAGTCATGCTACCGACAAGAGCCTCCATGACAAAGATGGGATTTCGTAGGAATTGGGCAGGCGCTTCGGTCTGATCCAAGCGCGGACGAACTTCGAGGCCGGGTTGAGGAGGCCATCGAGCAGGTACTCGTGAACCACGGTGTCACCAGGTTCTTGGACTTGGTCGATGGCTCGGGGTCCCTCGAGGCTGCGCGGTCGCAACTGGTTGAGCTCGTTCGGGAACAAGGCCCAGGCGTGTACGAGGCCACCCCCAAGGCGTTCCCCAAGGCTCACCAGGAGCTCGTCCAGGGGAGGCCTCAGGCACTGAAGGCCCGAGGAAGGGCCCGTGAGCATATGCAGGACGCCATGGAGGCCACCTCGAAGCTTACCAGGGCCACCAAGCGTCGTAGAGCTTCACGTCGTCGTTTTCGCGGGCAGCGGGAGGCCCAGCTGGCGGGGGGGGGGGGGGAGGCCCAGGCCAAGGGTCACGCGCCGGAAGAGAGGAGGACATGCAGACTGACGGCGGGAGCTGGCGCGGGGCCCAGGAGGAGGAAGTACGGAGCGATCGCGGAGCGCACCCTGTCTGCATGGCCGATCGACGCGGGGTCGTTCGTTGCTCAGGCGTCGCTGAATGACTCGGTGGAGCCTGTGTCAGTTGCTGCTGCAGACCTAGCAGCTGAGGATCCTGACAAGATCGCAGAAGGCTTTCGCACTGCACGGAGGCGACGTGCTGCCGTTCCGCGGAGCGTGCCGGATGAAGTGCGGGCTATATTTTTGTCCAAGCGCCCAGACCTCCGAGAGCGCGCTGCTGGACATGGCGCGGGTATGCTTTTTCAAGATTGGGTGCATTGCATCCGTGCAAAAGTCAGAAACAGGGCCGCCGCGTGGCCCAGTGGAATATGTCCTGCACCTACCAGCTCTCCAAGGAAAACGGCAAGCCGCGGACTCTGGGGACCAGGTTATTACACGGGCTGTGCGCGTTTGGCAAAATGTAGGATAAAACGGCTCGTCGACGGCGTCGTGTCATCCCGTCCTACGACTATGGGTATCGGCCTCGGAGGTCTAGGACCGGTGCTGACCGTGTTACTGCTGTGCTTGCGTGGAGGGCCAAAAAAATCAGTTGTCTACCCTGGATACTAAACATGATAGGAGACATTCGTTTGGGATTGTAAAACACGCATCGCTGGACCAGGCAGTGGATCGACTGCATCTTGAGGCCGATGCACGCATCCTTCGGCAACGGCACAGGCGCGCCTGCTTTCGTGTCCAAGCGGAGGGCGGGGCATCGGGCATGCCAAAATACGGAGGGAAACTAAATGGGGGACGCCAGCGCTGCCACTGTTTTTCAAGAAGCGCTTGCACCACCGATACGTGAATGGTCAGAAGATCTTCGCGCGCTCCATGCTAATCGTCTTCGCGGCTACAGCCCGATCACAGGCGCGGACTGTGACCTGTCGCTGCGGGTCTTTGCGGATGATGTGAACAAAACGCACGCTGTCCGAGACTTCGATGAGGCGGTGGCCATCACCCGCGCCCCAAATGCATGTCTTGATCGTCGCATCCAGCAACGCAGGATCTATCAGAGCCAGGGTAAGAAGTCCGTGGCGCCACACTTCGCGGGGTTAGGGTCCACCAGATTCACGCGCGTGGCCTTCCAGGCTGCGCAGAGTGAAAGTATCCCTGGGGTTGTTCTTCCTGTGGCGCCGTTCCTGGGGGCGCCATTTACTCCGGGCGGGCCCCGGTCCGTTGAAGTTGGGGCGCGTTGTGCTGCGATGACAAGAGGTTGGGCTCATATGAGACGTTTCTCGACTCAGTGTTCGCCGCGGAGGGCCAAGAAAATGACGCTCCCCAGTAATATTGAGGGTGCGGCCCTATCGGGCCCTACCGCATTGGTCTTGGATCAGTCTCAGGTGGTTCGTCTCGAATCCGCGCGCCTCAAGCGCCTCAAAGTGCGGCTAGGTGGCGCTGCTCAGAGGATCCCAGCTGTCGCGGGCGACGGGCGTGAGATCGTCCTGTTCCGCGCCCCGCCAGCTGTGCAGATCTGGAAGAGTGCTGGCATTGTTCCGTTGCCCTCGGAATTGCCCGTGCAGAGACTGAAAGACTGGCAAAAAATTGCTCGGCCACCTGGATACCATGAACAGCACCTCGCGGCGGTGTGCGGGGAGCCCGAGCGCGAGTCGGAGGTCCAGTCGAGCATTTCCTGGTTCCCTAGCTTTATGATGCGCCCTCGCAGCACTGCTCGAACGAGTCCGCGGGCCCGTCAGTTTTTCGAGGACGTCGAATCGACGCCGGTAACTGAGGGAGGGGGGCAGGTCTTGAAACTTCTGGCATCTCCTGGGGGAACACCATGGGCTTCGAAGCGTTCCAGAAGTTAGACATGCAGCAGTTTAGGGCTGAGTGGCTTCTTAGGTCATTGCCTCATGAGACCCCCGTCGCGGAGCCCGAGGAGATTGCGGAGGGTGAGCACGATCGCGAGCTTCTAGAAGCTGATGGGTTAGTGTGTGGTCGTAGATTTCGCACGCGCCGTGCACTGTTTGTTCGCCGGCGACAGGCCTCTGGAGGTCAGCACGGGATTCTCACGGGATCTTGCCCGTTGTCGCGAAGCTCACGGTCACGAATCAACGCATTGGTCCTGTACTTTTCGCTGCCGCGACGCTGCTGCGCGCCATCTTGT